GAGGATGATGGTGATGAGATGATGATGATGATGATGATGATGATGATGATGATGATGATGATGATGATGATGATGATGATGATGATGATGATGATGCTGACGACGATGAGGAGGAGGCGGAGGAGGAGGAAGAGGAGGAGGAGTAGGAGGAGCAGGAGGGAGAAGAAGAGGAGGAGGAAAATTATGATGAGGAGGAGAAACGGCGAGGGGCGATGAGGAGGAGGAGGAGAAGGAGGAGGAGGAGGAGGAGGAGGAGGAGCAGCAGGAGGAGAAAGAGGAGGAGGAGGAGGAGGAGGTGGAGGTGGAGGTGGAGGTGGAGGAGGAGGAGGAGGAGGAGGAGGAGGAGGAGGAGGAGGGGGAGGAGGAGGAGGGGGAAGGAGGAGAAGGAGGAGAAGGAAGAGGAGGAGCGAACGTAGCTTGCGGCCACGTTCGCCTGACTGGCTCGCAGCGGTGCGCGGGCCAGTCCTCCGCTCAGGTCAGCGGGGAGGCGGAAGGCGCGGCGGGCGGCGGCGGTGGCGCTGCGTGCCGGTGGCGATGCCCATGCGAATGGCCGAGCTGGCGATTCCGTTCTCGCCGTCGTGGGGCGTCTGGAGGTCGGGGAAACCCATGCGCACCAGGACATTCTCGTTCAGCTGGCCACGAGAGTATGCGATGTGGTGGATCGTCTACAGGCACTGGAGGTAGTGCTGGATGGAGTCTGGGCGGTCACATCCGTATATACATTTGCGCTTCTGCGGGCTCACGTGCATGCGGTCCGAAGTTGTCCATGCCCCCGTCATTGTTGTGAGGATAGCCCATGTCCTTGCGGATAGCTGGGTCGCCAGGAACTTGCGGAGGCGGATCCAGCGCTCGGCAAGGTTCGCGGGGATCTCGCGCATCTGGATCAGGTCTGCTAATCGGGCTCTGATTATTCCTCGTGTTCGTCGTCCCCGTAGGAAAGCTGCGGACTGGGACGCAGGAGGGGGAGGAGGAGAAGGAGGAGGAGGAGGAGGAGGAGGAGGAGGAAGAGTAGGAGGAGGAGGACGAGGAGGAGGACGAGGAGGAGAGGAGGAGGAGGAGGAGGGAGGAGGAGGAGGAGGAGGACGGCGACGGCGACGGCGACGGCGACCGGGCGACGGCGACGGCGAGGCGACGGCGACGGCGACGGGCGGCGACGGGCGCGACGGCGACGGCGACGGCGACGCGCGACGCGACGACGCGGACGGGGCGACGGCGACGACGACGACGACGACGACGACGACGACGACGACGACGACAACGACGACGACGGCGACGAGGCAAGCGATCTGGAGGTCTACGGAGGTCCCCGGCAGTCCCCGGGGATCCCAGCCGGCCTCCGGAGGCCCCTGGAAGCCCCCCCCCCCAGAGGCCCCTGGAGCCCCCCGCGGAGCCCCCTGCGGAGGCCCTCTGAGAGGGCCCAGGCGCCCCCGGGGCTTCCCCCGCGGGTCTTGGAGCGTCGGGGTGGGGCCGCCTGCTGCGGGGCTGCTGCGGCCGGGCCGCCTGCCACGCCCGCCAGGCCGCAGGGCTGGCCTCACTGCGGGCCGTCCTCGCGCACGACCTCCAGCACCCTGCCGAGCCCCTGCGAGTGGTGGGCGGGCGGGCCGGCTGCGCGCAGGAGTGGCCACTAGGCAGGAGGGGCCCCCGGTGTGCGATTTTTTGGGGGGGCCGTGGGGAGGCCGAGCCCGGGCGCGCAAGACGCTGCGATCGCGTGGCGTTCCGTCCTCTGGGGGCCCCGCGTGTCCGCACCGAGGGTCACTCCAGCGAGAGGTCGCTCTTACGTGGAAGTAGCCGAGTGGAAGCGCCCAGCGGCGAGGTGTGCGAACCGAGGTCGAGGTCTTCTGGCGTTTTCGAGCCCCCCGGGGCAACCTCGCGGCCACTGCTGGCTCGGAACGCTGGCCCAAACGCACACCAGGACACATCCAGGGGCCGACCTTCGACTCTGCAACCTGGCCCGCACGTCGCTCCCGAGCGCCCTCCCATGGGCGACTCCAAACACCATGGATCCAAACATGCGGACGCCTCCCTGCTCCTATTTCCGCCGGCCTTCCGCCGGCAGACCTGCCGCCTTTGTACGGTCGGGAGCTTTTGCTCAGCGTGTCGCGGCGGCTGCGCCAAGGCGACCCGCTGTGCATTATCAGGCGGAGGGCGTGCCGCTCCGCTCCGCGGGGCGGGAGGCCAGGAAGAGCTCGGGACGCCGACGCTCGGGATTGGGGACGTGGATGGCGTGCCGCGCCGAAGCGTGGTGAGCCAGAGGCGGCGGAGCGATACGCCAAGCCAGAGCTCCTGACTGTAATTCCGCCGGCGGACCTGCCGCCAGCTTCCGCCGATTGGGACGCACAGTGACATACTAGTAGTGTGTGTGTGTGTGTGTGAGTGTGTGAGAGTGTGTGTGAGTGTGTGTGTGAGTGTGTGTGAGTGTGTGTGTAAGTGTGTGTAAGTGTGTGTGAGTGTGTGTGAGTGTGTGTGAGTGTGTGTAAGTGTGTGTAAGTGTGTGTAAGTGTGTGTAAGTGTGTGTAAGTGTGTGTAAGTGTGTGTAAGTGTGTGTAAGTGTGTGTAAGTGTGTGTAATTGTGTGTAAGTGTGTGTAAGTGTGTGTAAGTGTGTGTAAGTGTGTGTAAGTGTGTGTAAGTGTGTGTAAGTGTGTGTAAGTGTGTGTAAGTGTGTGTAAGTGTGTGTAAGTGTGTGTAAGTGTGTGTAAGTGTGCGTAAGTGTGTGTAAGTGTGTGTAAGTGTGTGTAAGTGTGTGTAAGTGTGTGTAAGTGTGTGTGTGTGTCCTCCCCAGAGGCGTGCGTCCGACCCGAGCATCTGGCATACCCACTCTGTAGTACATCGTTTCCCGAGCGCTGTGGCCAGAAAGCGCCCGCCACGACGCATACGCTGTACGATTTCTCGGTGCGCGCGTCGCCCCCAGGGGGGCGACGCACACGCAGCATTGGCGTGCCCGGGCGAGGCCGACCGGTGGCGCGGGTGCGCCGAGGGCGAGGCCCTCTCGGGAGCGCGCCGTGCGCGTCCGCGCGGGCCTGCCCCGCGCGCCGCCCTCGAGTGCCCTCGCCTCGGGCTCGGGCTCGGGGCTGCGGGGCCCTTTTGCCTGTGGGGCTGCGGGGTCCCCGCCTGTCCGTGCGCTCGTGGCGCCCCGCGCCTCTCGGCGGCGGCCGCTGGACTGGCGGAGTCAGTCCTCTTCGACCCCGAGATCCGGCGCTCTGCAAGAGCATTGGAGAGGCAAGATTTGGGCCGTTTTCTGCCTCCGGGGGCCTCGGCAGGGCCTCGGGACCATCAAACGACGACTCAGGACGAAACGCTGGCCTCACAGGGAAGTGTTCCAGACCTCCCTCTCCCACGCCCCGGAAAAATGGGAGCGGCCGGATGTCGGGGGAGGCGTCCGCCTGCATCCTCGCGCCCCGCCCCGCATCTCCCCATTGGCAGCAGGCGCAAGGGTGCAGCCTCCCCGTCGCCCGCCCGAAGCTTCTGCATTCTGCACGCTGCCCCCTCCGATTTCCCCCCTCCACCCGCGACCTCGCCGTTCCCCCCTCGCCATCTTCAACGTTTCCCGCGACCTCTCCCTCATCCCCCCTCCCTGCTCCTGTCCCTCCTCCTCGTCGCCTCCCCTCGCCATCCCTCCTCCTCCTCCTCCTCCTCCTCCTGCTCCTGCTCCTGCTCCTCCTCCTCCTCCTGCTCCTGCTCCTGCTCCTGCTCCTGCTCCTGCTCGCTCCTGCTCCTCCTCCTCCTCCTCCTCCTCTCCTCTCCTCCTCTTGCTCCTCTCTCCTGCTCCTGCCTCCTCCTCCTCCTCCCTCCTCCCCCTCCTCCTCTCCTCCTCCTCCTCCTCCTCCCCTTCCTCCTCCTCCTCCTCCTCCTCCTCCTCCTCCTCCTCCTCCTCCTCCTCCTCCTCCTCCTCCTCCTGCAATCCCCCCAAAACAGAGGACACCTGCTCGGGGGGGGCTTCCCTCCTCGGCCCGTCGGGCCCCCAGAGCCGCCCCATCCGCTCTCGGCCATCGCCCCTCCGCTGCGGGGGCCCTGGCCCGGCATTCTCGGAACGGCAGCGGCGCCGCAGCAGCAGCAGCAGCAGCAGCAGCAGCAGCAGCAGCAGCAGCAGCAGCAGGATCAAGAGACGAGCTCAGAGGAGGAGAAGGCTCCGATCTACCGCTGCCCTTCCCTCGTCAACACGGCTGGATGCTCCTCGGGAGCCTGGTCAGAACGCACCCCAGGAGAGGTCCGTGGAGTAGCGGTGTGGGTACATTTCTGTTTCCCCAAGAGTAGGAGCGGCGGGATGGGAACGATGAGGAGCAACAAGGAGAAGCGAGGAGAGGAAGGGGGGGAAAGAGCAACAAAAGGAAGGGATGAGGCCAGATGGGGAGGAGAAGCAAGAGGAGGCGGAAGGAGGAAAACGATGAGCAGCAGGGAAGAAATGACAGGACGAAGAAGCCTTCGTCCGACCTTCCCGGAACAACAACGGCGCCCCTGGCCGGAGGTACTCTCCGTGGTAGGCGAAGCGGAACGTGACCACTGCCTGGGGCGTCCGGTGCGGACCGCGGCTAAGGATTCGGCGTCGACGACGTCGACGTCAACGACGTCGATGACGAGGAGGACGGCGTCCACGAAGACGGCGATAACGGCGACGACGACGTTGTTGGCGTCTTTCTCCCTCCTCCCTCCTCGCTCCTTCCCCTTCCCTCCCTCCCTGCGTTCCTCCCTCCTCCCTTCTCCCTCATCCCCCGTTCCTCCGTCCTCCCTCCATCTCCCCCTGCTTCGTCACTCATCCCTGCGCCCTCGCCCTTCCGCTCTCCTCTTTCCTGCCTCATCCTCCGCCCTCCCTTCTCTCGCCTCCCTCGCCCTCTGCCCCCCTTCTCTCCTCCCTCGCTACCTCCCTCCCTGTGCCTTCCCTGTGCCTCCCTCTTTCCCGCACTCCCTCCCTCTCTCTTCTTTCCTCCCTCCCCGTGCCTTCCTCCCTCCTCCTCATCTCCCACGTCGAGGCCTTGTCGCCAGTTCGGAGGAGCTCACAGGACATGTGCTTCACAGTCGCGCACTGCCTGATTATGCCGCAATGCACCATGGCCTGGTACCGCTCCCGGATTGTCGTGGCGTGGTGCAGGATAATCACCTGAGGCAGCAGGATCAATGACCAAGGATCGAGGGAGATTGAAGGATCGAGGCTTCGAGTTGCTCTGTGTGCAGAATATGTTTGGATGATGGACGATCCTGGAGCTCTCCGAATCATGGTTTTCCATTGGTTCAAGCGTGCGCTTTGTCCAGGCACGTCGCGGTTCTCAATAGAGAAGCGGGAGGAAGATCCCTCCTTGATACAGTCGTCTTGGATGCTGCTCACAACGTCCACTGACGAGAACTCTTTCTTTCGCACCCGTTCTGGACGTCGCGCTTGGGTGTGTACTCCGCCTTGGTAAAGAAGGGCCGGGGCACGCTCCCAAATCCCACCAGCCCTTTCCTCTTCCACCCCCTTCTTCCCCTTCGGGAGGGGTTCCGCGAGCGGTCAGGGCGCCCAAAACGGCCTCTGCGAGGAAGCCAAACTCATTGGTTCTACTAGGGTTTTGGCCCACATTTGGCCTCTTGGGGGGGCGGCGCTCCCAAGGCTCCCAAGGGCGCCCCAAGAGGGCCCCAAGAGGTGGCCAGGAGGCCCCAAGAGGCCCCCAAGAGGCCCCCAGGATGCCCCCAAGAGGCTACCAAGAGACCCCCAAGAGGCCCCCAGAGGCCCCCCAGAGGCACCCAAGACGCTCCAAGAGGCCTCGCGGTGCCTCACTCCGCAGGACCCACCAGCAGCCCTCGAAAGTGGCGACGGTTTCGCAGATCGCAGCCCCCCAAGCACGGCGAGGCCTTGCTCCGATCTGCGCGGAGCCTCACTCCGCAGGACCCACCAGCAGCCCTCGAAAGTGGCGACAGTTTCGCAGATCGCAGCCCCTCAGGGACGGCAAGGTCCCGCTCAGATCGGCGCGGTGCCTCACCCCGCTGGGCCCACCAGCAGCCCTCGAAAGTGGCGACGGTTTCGCAGATCACAACCCCCCAGGGACGGCGAGGTCCCGCTAAGATCTGCGCGGTGCCTCACTCCGCTGGACCCACCAGCAGCCCTCGAAAGTGGCGACGGTTTCGCAGATGGCAGCCCCCCAGGGACGGCGAGGTCCCGCTCAGATCCGCGCGGTGCCTCACCCCGCAGGACCCACCAGCTGCCCTCGACAGTGGCGACAGTTTCGCAGATCGCAGCCCCCCAGGCACGGCGAGGTCTTGCTCAGATCTGCGCGGTGCCTCACTCCGCTGGACCCACCAGCAGCCCTCGAAAATGGCGACAGTTTCGCAGATCGCAGCCCCCCAGGGATGGCGAGGTCCCGCCCAGGTCCGCGCGGTGCCTCACTCCGCAGGATCCACCAGCAGCCCTCGAAAGTGGCGACAGTGTCGCAGATCGCAGCCCCCATCGTCGGCCAAGAGAGGGCAGGAGGAGGCGGGAGGCGGGAGGAGGAGGAGGACACGACCACACCCCTCTATTCAAAACGAATACCCAACCAAGGAGGGTTGGGAAACAATTGAGACGCCAAGATCTCAGGGCTGGCGAGAGCATAGCGACACCAACCGGCTGCCACGAGGGCCAGCTAATCCCGGGAGAGCTCAGCGATGGGGTTGCCAGCAAGGTGGGCGACTGGCAAGCCAGTGGAGGAGCGTAGAGGGCAGGCGGAGGGCACCACCGGGGGCCGCGCCCACCTCTGCACACACGCACACGCACACGCACACGCACACGCAGACATGCGAAAGCTCAGCCCGCACGGCCACAGAAAGGCCGAGCACTGGGGAAACCAACAGGTACCGATACCGCTACTCCCCGGACCTCTCCAGGGGTGCATTCTGACCAGAATTTAGAAGCGAATCCAGCGGTGGCGACGAGGGCCGCCCAGGAGGCCCCAAAAGGGGAAACCAGGCGAAGGGTATGTAGAGGTATGGGTACCTTTTCCTCTTCTGAAGCACTGGCAAACGACATCTGGCCACGTGTGCGCTGATGATGATGGTGATGATGATGATGAGGAGGAGGAGGAGGAGGAGGAGGCGGAGGCGGAGGCAGAGGCGGAGGCGGAGGCGGAGGCGGAGGCGGAGGCGGAGGCGGAGGCGGAGGCGGAGGCGGAGGAGGAGAAGGATAAGGAGGAGGTTGGCATCTCGCTTTCACGTCCACTGGCCTTCCGCCGGCAGGCCCTGCGCAGATTTACTTCTTCCGACGGCAAGGCGCGCTTCGGTCCAGCTGCGGGGCAGAGGAGGCCAGAGGCGTTCCCCTGAGCGGGGGCTCCTCCGAAGGCGACTGGGGGGCTTCTCGGAAGCCCGCGGGCATTCTGAGAGAGGCCGTCTGCGTCTTCGGAGAAGGCTCAAGACGCTTCTCAGCAGGCCGGAGGCCCTGGGCCCTCCGAGGCGGCCCGCCCCTGTTGCCTTAGCTCCTGGGCGCGCCGCCTATTCGAGGCAGAAGGCGGCCAGAGGCGTTCCCTTGACTCCGACACTCGACGTCATGATTTCTTTATCGCGTGGATCTTCAAAAATCTGAACCCCTTCCCTGGGACCGGCTTCTCATCCGACCCTGACCCTGACCCTCGATGCCATGATTTCTCCATCACGTGGATCCCCTAAAGTCTGAACCCATTCCCTGGGGCCGGCTTCTCATCCTAAGTGGCTTTTTGGCGGTCCCCGGGCCCCGAAGCCGATCAAACATCTCCCGTCGTAATTTCGTTGCGCTCGAGTGCTAGGTCTGACGCGTATGGATCCTCGGGGAGAGGTACAATAGTACGTACTTGCACTAGTCGGTGCCCAGATGCAACAATTTGCACGCTGCGTGATACAGATGCGTGCCGATGCAGTTATGTAACTTTCGTCACACGCAGTGGTCATCGCCTGTGCCATGGTTCGCCCACCCCCCCCGCAGCGGTGGCGCACTATTGCACGAATTAGTATGCAACGAATGAGCGATTGCTTCTCGCGCCGCCGACCCACCCTCGCTAGACCCACTTAGAGTATTCGTTGGGACCCGAGGAAGTCTAGGCTGGGAAGCTGGCCTGTCCTGGCAGAAACTCACATGTCAACGACGAGTAGGTACAGTTCTTGCGCACTTTTTTGCCACGCCGCCAAGAGTTCAAACCTTTGAGTCCGGGCGGGCCAGCGCAACAATGGAGCAAACCTATATGCTGCTGGCGCACAGCCGGGGGCTCGAATCTACTTCCATCGGGCGCGCAATCCAGAGCGCATCGGGAGGAGAAACTGCGCCTGTGGTTATGGCAGGAAGCAACTGTTAAATGAAACATCCGCTGAAACGTAACCAAGAAAAGGCGAGCCAAGTCGAAGAACGCTCGAATTACAGTTCTGTCCTGCTAAGCGCGGACAGCGCCTACTGATTGTAGTATTGTCCTGCTTGACGCAGGCATTTGAAACAATGAGTACGTACTCACATAACTTTGCGAAATTCGCCGGCCCAACGGGCCAGGGCGTGCTAAGATCTCCGGTAACTGGTTAACAGTATTAACAGTATTTCTAGTTCGCGCGCGCGGGGCGGCCCCTGGGGGTCTCCCGGCGAAAAGTACCCCGACCAACGCCCGGTCGCCGCCCGGTCGCCGCCCGACCGCCGCCCGACCAAGTCTACTCAGAGATGGTTTTCCTTCTGGGTGCGGCCTCTCAGGCTCCCCAGAGCGCGCTCAGAGTGCCCCAAGAGGCCCCCAAGACTGCCCAAGAGGCCCCCGAGACGCCCAAAGAGCGCTCGAAGACGCCGAAGATGACCCCAAGACGGCCCAAAAGGCCCCCAAGACAGCCCAAGAGGCCTCCAAGACGCCCCAAGAGCCTTCCAAGAGGCCTCCGAAGAGAGCCCCAAGAGGCCAAAATCGTTGATTTTCATTGGTTTTTTCGATGTTTTTTGTGTTCTGGCTTTTTCGGCTTCCGGACGCTCCAAGACGGCCCAAGAGGCCCCCAAGACCGCTCCAAGACGGCCCACGAAGCTCCCAAGACGGCGCCGAAACGACCCAAGAGAGCCCTCAAGACGGCCCAAGTGCCGCCCAAGACGGACCAAGAGGCCCCAAGACGGGCCCAAGAGGGACTCAGGAGGGATACCGAGAACTCAAAAATGGAGCCCTCCGTCCCAGAAGGCGCCCAGGAGGTCCCAAAGAGGCCCCAAGAGGCCTCCAAGAGGCCCCAAGATGTCGCCAAGAGGCCCCAGGAGACTCCCAGGAGGCCCAAAAGAAGCCCCAGAAGGCTTCAAACATGTCTCCCAGGCGCCCCCGAACGGCCTCTCAACAGACCCCAAGAGGCCCCCCAAAGAAGCATCTTGACGACGACTCTATTTCGCCCCATCGAGAGACGACCCCCAGGGAACTGCTTCACCATCAAAACTCCCCACGCAACGCGTCCGAACGACACCCGCCCCCAAGAGCGCAACATGGGCAACGAACACACAGACAAAAACCAGCGATGCCATATCACGGGCCGGCGGAATGAGCGAAGCGATTCAATAATTTGAATAACGATGGCGCTCGCCAGGCCCAAGGCACCAGGCCTCGAGGCCGGCCCTCGGTGTAACATCACACGTTGCCCGGGGCCTGATTCTGTTCCATGCCTGGCTGCGGTCTCATGGGCGCTCAGCTGTCGCAGACGCGCCGGCTGCAGTGCCGCTGCCAGACGGGGAGGAAAACGTGCTGGCCTCGCCGGTGCCGCCCGCGGGCGTGCCGGCCTCGGCGCCGTGGCCGGTCGCGGCCGCCGTGCGCAGCCCTGGCGGCCGCCGCACGCGTTGCGTCGGCGCCGCCGCAAACCGCGCCAGCGCCGCGCGCCTCGGGTGTGCGCCGAGGTCTACGGGGCTGCCGAAGAGCCAGTCGTCCGAGGGGGGGCTCTGATCCTGGTGCTCGAGGGTGAAGCGGCCAAAGCAGTGGCGCGGCGGGTGGTCGTCCGCACCGCTTGGGGAGCCCATGCCGGCACCAGAAACTTCACTGCTTCGGTGCTTCGTGAAAATCGTCCAACATCGGCTCGGGCCAGAATGCCTTGAGACAAAACGGGCCTCACGCACCATGCCGTATCGACTTCACGCCACGGGTTACGCGGGCCGTCAGCGAGGCACGCCACATTGGAAACGAGGGCGTTTGCGCG